CTCAACTTGAATAATTTAGAAGTTTTTTTGTCCGTAACTGCCGCATGCCACCTCTCGGGGTTCCATACCCCGTCCTCGAGGTGGGCCCCCGAGATGTTCCTGGGCCAGGCCTGCGCGAGGGGTGAGTCGCGCAGGGCCAGCAGGGCCGTCTTCGTGTACATAGTCCAAAAGGGAGTCCGTGGCATAGAGGAGGGGATGGATGCTTCTTTGTTTGTTTGTATCCTGCCTTTATTGTTTTTTTTTTTTAAACAAATAACTCAAGGCAGTGAACCTATCCAAAACACCTTCCTCCTCCTATTTTCCCCACAACAACAGCCTTGTGAGGTGGGTTGGGCTGAGAGAGAATGACTGGCCCAATCACCACTCCCATCCACCAGATCCATCTGGCTTCCAGGCCTAAGTCAAGCCTAGAACTTACCCTGTCCCGCCTTCTAGCCTGGTGCCGTAACCAGTAGACCAGGGGTAGGCAACCTTGGCTCTTGTATGACTCGTGGACTTCAACTCCCAGAATTCCTGAGCCAGCCATGCTGAGGAGAAATGGAGAGGTTTCCATGCTGAGCCAGGCCGGCTCAGGAATTCTGGGAGTTGAAGTCCACGAGTCATAAAAGAGCCGAGATTCCCCACCCCTGATCTAGGCCTGATCTAACCTGGCTCTCAATTATCAAAAAAATTCTGAAAGAATACGGCCATTTCTGTGACAATAGAAAGTTTAAACAGGGTTTTCTTTTTAAAGGTATGGCTTTGGAAGTTGGACATTGAGAAAGGGCAAAAGGTGTTCAGTTAGTCACACCGTTGTTAAGTGAATTTGGCTTCCACGTTGACTTTGTCTGTCGGAAGGTTGCAAATGACGAACCCACGACCCAGGGACACTGCAACCGTCATAAGTGCATGCCAGTTGCCGAGCATCCGAATTTTGATCCCACGACCACAGGGATGCTACAATGGTTGTGTGAAAAACAATCATAAGTCATGTTTTCCAGTGTCATTATACCTTCAGTTGTAGGTTGTAAATTGAGGACTATGTGTATCTAAAAGCAGACCTAAAGCCGGTCTCCGATTCTCTCCCTTTCCTGAATATTTTAACTCTCTCTCTCTCTCTCTCTCTCTCTCTCTCTCTCTCTCTCTCTCTCTCTCTCTCTCTCTCTCTCTCTCTTTTTTTTTTTTTTTTTTTTTTTTTTGCTGATGTGTTCTTCTGTTCCAGGTGCATTCGTCACCGAAACGATTGGGGGGCCCTTATTTTAGTTGATGATCGTTTTGGAAAGAACCCCAGTAAATACACAGCTGGTAAGATATCATGTTTATTTGCGGGATACATGTCGGCAAGGCACGGGATAACATGCGCTCACCCGAATTCATTTTTCAGGGGTGTCAGCAGGGATGTTCCCAACAAATGGGTCAGGAAAGTCAAGGTGGCAATCACACCCAGGTGATTAAAAACTCTGCCCCCTTTTTAAGTTAGGTGGCCGTCTTGCCTTTTTGTTTAATCACCATTCCCATCCACCTGTGAATGCTCCAACACTGGAAGTTTTTAAGAAGAGACTGGACAGCCATTTGTCTGAAGTGGTATAGGGTTTCCTGCCTGAGCAGGGAGTTGGACTAGATGACCTCCAAGGTCCCTTCCAACTTTATTATTATCATTATCATCATCATTATTATCATTATCATTATTATGGATGGATCATTGCACAGTCAGCCAGATGTTCAGACTGGATTTGGCATTTTTGTCTACCTATCGAGTCCTTACCGAGGACCTGGGATAGGCAGATGTGGATGTTTGATGGTATTACAGATATCGTCACAGGATGGAAGCAGTTCCTAGTAAGGCCGCCTTTTGCAATTGACTGATGGCAAATATGTCAATGCCGATGATGGTGTCCAAGTGGTGCTCCAGTTGTTTTGGGATTGCATCCAAGGCGCCTATTATTATTGGTACTACCTTTGCTTGCTTTTGCCACAATCTTTCTATTTCTATTTGTAGGTCTCTGTATTTTGTTATCTTCTCCAGTTCTTTCTCCTCTATTCTGCTGTCTCCAGGCACTGCCATGTCCACTATCCAGACTTTTTTGTCATTATTATTATTATTATTATTATTATTATTATTATTATTACTACTACTACTACTACTATTATTATTATTATTATTATTATTATTATTATTACTACTACTACTACTACCCCCCACAAGGATGACCTTGCCAACTATTGTTACTGCTATCAGGAAATGGTCTTTGTAGTCTACGTACTCCTTGCCTTAACAACCGTAATTGTGTCTGGAACTATGGCTGTCAGTTGTGGCGGTCATTAAGCAGATCATCACATGACTGAGCTGATTTTATGAATTTTTTTTTCCACTGGGCTCCTTCCGTGAATCACCATGGTCGTGAAGCTAATCCTCACAGTCCGTATGGCAGTTTTTGCCGGAAACCTGAAGTAGACACTAGTTTCTGGTTAAAAAAAAACAGAAAACCCTCATATATTGCGGTCACGTGACTGCATGCTGCAAATGGACGTAAATGCAGGTTGGTTGCCAAGTGCCCAAAATGTGATCAGATGACCACGGGGGGGGGGGGGCACTGGATCTTCAAATCTAGGTCGTAAGTACCATTTTGGGGGTCCATCATAGTTGCTAAGCAACCGGTTGTAAGTCACGGACTACCTGTATGCATTTGGTAATCCTGGCTGATAATTCACTCACAACTATAAGGAGGTCATCTAGTCCAACCCCCTGGTCAGACAGGAAACCCTATACCATTTCAGACAAATGGCTGTCCAGTCTCTTCTTAAAAACTTCCAGTGTTGGAGCATTCACCGCTTCTGGAGGCAGGTTGTTCCACTGGTTAATTGTTCTAACTGTCAGGAAGTTTCTCTTTAGTTCTAGGTTGCTTCTCTCCTTGATTAGTTTCCACCCGTTGCTTCTTGTCCTGCCTTCAGGCGCTTTGGAGAATAGCTTGACTCCCTCTTCTTTGTGGCAACCCCTGAGATACAACTAGCTATTCAAAGTATTATTTTTTTTAAAAAATAGATATAGAAGTGAAGAAAACTATACAGGTGGGCCTCTACTTGCAACCACAATTGAGCCCAAAATTTCCGCTGGTGAGTGAGACAGCTGTTAAGTGAGCTTTGTCCCATTTTATGACCTTTTTGCCACAATTGTCAAGTAAATCACTGCAGTTGTTGAGTTAGTCACACGGTTGTTCAGTGAATCTGGCTTCCCCCATTGACTTTGCTTGTCAGAAGGTTGCAAAAGGGGATCACGTGACACACACAAACCCCCCCCGGGTACACTGCAACTGTCATAAAAACGAGCCAGTTGCCAAGCATCCAAATTTTGATCAAGTGACCCTGGGAATGCTGCAATGGCCGTAAGTGTGAAAAACAGTCCTAAGTTGAATAGAATAGAATTAGGAATAGAAATAGAATAGGAATAGAATAGAATAGAATAGAATAGAATAGAATAGAATAGAATAGAATAGAATAGAATAGAATAGAATAGAGAGCTGGAAGGGACCTTGGAGGTCTTTTAGTCCAGCCCCCTGCTCGAGCAGGAGAACCTATACCATCTCAGACAAGTGACTGTTAGCCTCTTCTTAAAGACCTCCAGTGATGGAGCGCCCACGATTTCTGGAGGCAAGCTGTTCCACTGGTTGATTGTCCTCACTGTCAGGAAGTTTCTCCTTAATTCCAGGTTGTTTCTCTCTTTGGTCAGCTTCCAACCATTGTTTCTCGTCCTGCCCTCTGGTGCTCTGGTGAATAACGTGACCCCCTCTTCCTTATGGCAGCCCTTCAAATACTGGACCACTGCTATCATGTCTCCCCTGTTTCTTCTTT